TTTGTTTAAGAAGAAATTATCAAGTTTTAGATCTGTTTTGAAGCAGACAGAAACCTGTAGAGGACTTATGTCTGTTTTGTAGTCGACCGCGGTGGACGCGGCGGTCGACCGCTGGGCGTGCAGATGGGCAGAATCTGTCTGCCCTCTGCACGGTCGACCGCGGTGGACACGGCGGTCAACCGCCGGGCATTTTTGTTAAGCAGCTTGTTTCTGCTCTTTATGCGGTCGACCGGAGTGACCTCTGAGGTCGACCGCCGAACTGTTTGTGCACGTTTGTGTTTCGTTGTGTATTTTTACGTGTACGAGAAGTTGCCTCGATTATCTGGTACTAGAATTCAGTGATTAACTAATCTTTTATGCATGTTAGATGAATTGAGGGCACCAGTTTAGATCTGCACACCGAGACACGTGTGAAATTAGTATATGTATATCTTTTCATATATCTCATCGACATTTACGCATTTTGTACAGTCCATGTGTTGGACATTCATTTCATTCAGTCCATGTGTTGGGCATTTATCTTTTAATCCATGTGTTGGACATTCATCATACATAGTCCATGTGTTGGACACTCATTTTTATTAGTCCATGTGTTGGACACCTGTTAAACTTTGAGTATGACACTTAACCGAGTTAGGATATGACATTTTACATGAGATGGAGACATGATAACTATGTATGCTGGGCACTACACTATTGTGGGTTTGACATATCTTTATGTGCAAGAGTTGAGATGGGTTATTTTTCTTAAATTTATTATTCCATGTATTAGATTTAGGGATTTTGTATTTAGGGGTTTACAATTTGAGATACAAGATATATACATGAGGGTTTCCTTGTTTGGATTATTTTGCTCGACGTACCTATGCTCGTGTTGTAAATTTCTAAATACTAAAATCCTCAATTTTGTTAGAATCAATGAATTTTATATTATTATGTATTGACTGTATTTTCTTATATACAACGAGCCCTCTCCCTTGGGGTTGGTTGTGATGTTGCTCGCTAACGCTTTGACGCTCGTTGTCCCTCCCATTTCAGGTAACGAGCCAGGTGTACGGAGAGTCGCAGGTTGATGGCAATACACATTAGTGTTCATCCTCTCTTTATAGTTTTGTTTTATTTTGGGAGCTCCACTGTAGACATTTTATTTAGTGTTCATCCTCTCTTTATAGTTTTGTTTTATTTTGGGAGCTCCACTGTAGACATTTTATTGAGTCATTGAGAGTTTTATTCTAGAAGTTGGGGAGCTCCACTGTAGACATTTTATTGAGTCATTGAGAGTTTTATTCTAGAAGTTGTAAAGATTGTGTGCCTTATTTCTTTTTATCAGACATTCAGTATTTGAGACTTGTTGAGATCTCCAGATTTTTTATTTCAAAGATTGACTTCGTATTTCTGTATGTTGGATGATGAAATATTAATTCAATCTCTATCATTTCATCAGTTATCTCTTGTATTACATTTTACTTGCTTTTGTACTTATACCTGTTATTGACTCTACTAGAGAGATAGTAATTATGATGGTGAAACATGTTATTACATGGTGTGGTGCATGACAGATTTGATATTCTTAGTTTCACCTTGAACTGCAGCCTTGTGTGAACCCAGGGGCGCCACATAAACCCCCCTTCTCCTCCTCCTCTCCTTCCTCCTCTTCCTCCTTTTCAACCTCTCCCCATCACTCACGCCCGCCAGCTCAGCAAGACCCTCAGCCCCCACTCCTCCTCCCTCTCTCCCTCCTCCTCCTCATCCTCTTCAACCTCTCCCCATCACCCACACTGTAACAAATCACATCAATGCCCTTAGTTTTTCCTCTGGTAAATATGTAGACCCCCTAAAACTCATTTTCAACAGGTAGTCCTAAAAATGGACTCATCTTTGCATCAGGCACGAGATTCTCCTGCTACAGAGTCTGAAGAAATCAGCCCTCAGGCATTATTTTGCACTTTTCAACTGACTTAGGGTTTCAAAATCAGAGAATTGAGCAACAAAAAGACCAGGAAAAGTCTTTATAAAGCAAAGAACACATAGGTAACACATAAAACAAACGTAGTAGATAAGCTGTCAACATAACTTAATTGAGTACAATCCATAGGAGTTTTAGCAATGAGTCATCAACTTGAGGCTCTGCGCGAAAGAGCTCCACTCCAGTATGGAACCTAAAATATATGAAAGATATTAACCATTATGTACTGTACAGAGACAATGACACTTTACAGTAGTTTAAGAATTAATTTTCAAGCCAAAATTCAAACTAAAGAAGAAGGTTTACCTTATTTCATTTCAAGACATCATTTAAAAATGCTATAGTTAAAAAAAGCTAATTTTACTGATTTGCTAACACATGAAGTTCCCAACAGAACTTTTTTTTAAAATGTAGTTAGAAATAGCCCTAACGTAAAATCCCTAAACTTCTTAACTTAATGCAGAAAGTTATTGGTGGCAATAACGCTCCTACCATGATCAAGCTTCAAAAGATTATTCAAATAAATCATCTGCATCCATTCACATAATCTAACATCTAACCAGTAATTGTAGCACAATGCTTTCATAAACAAAATACCTGTAGCTATGGGAAATCAACCGAGCAAGTGACTGTGCTGAAGGGGATCCTGGTGGATGCTTCACTCCAAGCTGAGTGCCCAACCGAGAAGGAGCAATAGCCATAGCAATGCCCTTAGGTTGAAGAGGATGTGGAGGAGGATGGAGATGGGGAGGAGGAGGAGGAGTGGGGATTGAGGGTCTTGCTGAGCTAGCGGGCGTGGGTGATGGGGAGAGGTTGAAGAGGATAAGGAGGAGGAGAGGGTTTTTAATTAGGAGTTTGGATTATGAGGGGGTTTTGTGCAATAAATTCTGCCAATTGGGCATCACGTGAGCCGTCACATGATAAAACTGGCAGAAAAAATTTAGATCCCGGCAAACTTAAGGGGTATATGGCGCCGGAGGTTATATTAAATACTAATTTGATAAAACTTAAAAAATTTATACCAATCTGTAACCTAGTGTCTATAAAATATACCAATCTGACCATTTTGCCTATACTCTTTGTGTAGATTGTTTATCATTATCAAAAAGGAGGAGATTATTAGCCTTGTTAGGTCTCATGTTTATGAACCTACTCCCTAATCTTGTTTTGATGATTACAAATAATTCTCAATAACGTTTGTCAAGTGTTTATATTAATTGTTAGGTAATCTACACAAATATCCATGTTGGAGGTTGGATGGAATAGAGCTTTCACGATCATATCCTTTGGAGGATGGAAGGAATATCAGTATGAAGCCAATGCAATTCAAAGTCAAATACAAGATCAAGCTTCATTCGCATCCAAGACAAGCTATATTGAAGACCTTCAAGCTTGGGTAATTTAGTTTAGGTTTATACCTTATGTGTAGATACTTCCATCTCAATCATATACACACATACAAGTATTGGTTTCTCATATATATATATATATATATATATAGGAGCTCGACCAAGCCCTCGACGTCTGCCCTCATGGCTTCGAACAAATTGAAAGAGTCGACGTCTTCGAATTCTTCAAAATCAAAGCCTACCTCTTCTAAATGCAATAATCCTCCAACTTCGTAAGTAATTTGCCATGATATATTTAATTTTTAACTCTTTCTGAATTATAATTGGTTTTGTTGTAAGCCATGATGTATAATGTTTGTGTTAATAAACTTGTTAATATGCGTCTTAATTTGCCCAAATATATTTAATTTTTAACTCTTTCTGAATTATAATTTTCTTGTAGGGCTAAGATAACACACTTGAGAATTCCGGCCAATTTGTGTTATTTTCGAGATTTAATTGATAAGCGAATAAAATTAGATGAAAGACACATAAAAGCCCTACAGACGACACCTTTTCACAGCTTTCTCAATATACCCACATCCTTGAGCAATGAGCAAATAGCAATTGATTGCTTGATTCAAAATTTTAATCCTGATAAATGCTCATTCATGATTGGGAATAAAAATTGTGTGTTCGGTATAGATGATATTCACCGAATTACCGGATTGCCAAAGGAGGGAATTCCGATAAAAATGAGTGGGGCAGCGGCTAATACAATCTACACCTATTTTGTAAAGAATTATAAGAAAGCCGATGAGGAAAAGAAGGCGGTGATTTCGGGGAAGCGCGATAGAATGGCCGAGATGATTGTAGATATGATTAATGAAGACCCTATAATATGTGTGAAACTTATTGTGGCTTTCATTATCGGCTTCATATTATGCCCGCGGACATGTAAGACATGTCCCTTGTGGGCGGTTAGATATGCGGAGCAGTTATCAACTTTGCATAAATATAATTGGTGCCATGCGGTGTTCACTCTTCTTTGCAAAGAGATGAGTAAATCAAAGAAGTCTCTTAGTATGCGGGAATTAGGCCAGCGTTCAAATGCCGGGTACATGGGTGGTTTTTCCTCCGTTTTACTGGTGAGTTACATGAACATTATTTTGTATATCTTTTCATTTTGATAATGATTATTGTTTATGCACATGCTAATGTGTAGTTTCTTTTTTGTAGGTTTGGTTTTATGAAAAAGTGGGGGAATTAGAGTATACTTCAGATGTTGAAAGGTTACCACTGCTCTTTTGTGTGAAGAGTACTGGAAAGTGGAGGAGGACTACTATGAACAAATTATATAGAGTCCCGAAGTTGGTTACGGATAATGGCCAAGAGAATACTCCTCTTATTCATACGGCATCACCAATAGTATTTGTACATATCGTTGCTCTAATAGTTTATTATTTTATGTCCCTTTTGTTAGTATCTATGTTTGCAACTATAGTATACGTACTAATACTAGCTTTTTTTTGTCAAATGGGAATCAAGGAAAGCTGAATTAATTTTCTTAATTGCGGAGAAGACGTACGAGTTGAATGAGCTCACTACGGAATTACGAGAATTAGAAGAGCGTAGTGCTAGATGCCAAAAAAAACCAAGGAGAAAGTGGATGACGGAAATGTAACTGAAGAAAAAAAATCAAAGAGGATATGGAAGCTAAGGAATATGAGAATTTGGAAGGAACGGGGGAAGCCGATTTATGTGATGACTTTGTGATGAGCCCAAGAGACATGAGAATTTTAGAAGATGCTCGGTGAGTTTAGTTTTTTAAATTTTCTTGCAATTTTAATTTTTATATTTTCCATATAATTCTTGTGTAACTCTTTGTTAATTATATGCCTTCTCGACTCTATAGAGATGTTTCTCAAAAAGATGAAGGTGGTAATGAGAATAACAGAGAAACGCCATCTATCAAACGGGCTGTCGGAAAGAGGGAGAGGAAGGATGGACCCTCTGTTACTTCACCTTATATGCCTCTAGATCAACCAAAGGAAGGCACAAAGAAGAGACGTGTCATCCATATATTGGATAGTCCTGAGGGGAAAAAAAGTGCAAAAATGAAGAAGGCTTCATACCTACATCTAGAGACTATCCAGGTAAGGCACTGGCCTTTGATTATGAGAACAAATTAATTGAAGACTTTCTACAATCGAGAATGAACAGGTAACTGTTACTGACTTATTCTAATAATAATATTTGAATTTACTTAATTCTAGTAGCAATTTTCTCACAATGTACTTGCATATAGTGATACGTACATTTGGAAGTGTGCCGAAGCAAGCGTATCTCGCTTAGATGCTTTTATACTATTAACGGGAGGTGAACTCAGTGACGATGTAGGTTCTAAACAATTGTGTTATTGATTGTTTGATGTTGTATATAAAATAATTTATATTAACTATTTTATTCATTCATGGTAATTTTTGTAGGTGATCGATGCATTTGTTATTCGGCTTTGTAACAAGATTGAAACAAGTGATAGTTATGATCGAAAGATACATGTCACAAGACCTTGGCTTGCAGTAAGTATATCCTTGTTTTTTTCACTAATTGGTGGATATTATTATTATGTTATCCCACAATGTTGACATTATTGCATCTTTTAGCAAGCATTTCTAGAAGGAAATCTTGAAATGGTGGCAAAACGAATGAAGGAAAATGTTTCTCAGCAGAAGTTCTTGGAGTGTGAAAGAATTCTGATCCCGATTGTCAGCTCCGGACATTGGCACCTGGTAGAGTTAGTGAGAGAGGAGACAAAATTCTATCACTACTCCTCAATCAACTCCCCCATTTATACCGCCGATGCTGTGAAATTTATAAATAAGTTTATGAGTTTCATTGAGAGTAATTGGGGATTGGGGAAATTGGAGCATCATGGTCTTGTGTCAGTTGCCGTGCCACAACAAGGACCGTAAGTGTTTCATGCATTTCTAATTTAATTGTTCATTTTTTTGTTTCATTGTCATTTTCAATATTGTAATATTTTTCCCTTAAATGCAGAACGTTAGATTGCGGGATCTTTATGATTGAATTCATTAACAGCATTGTCGAAAAACGGTCGATAACAATTTCAAAAGGAGATTGTGCAAAATATAGAGCAAGGTTTTGTGCTGCTCTTTTGTATGCACGCGATTCACCTTTTTTGTAAATATTATTTTAATTTTCTCCAAGGTTTTTGTTGTGTATTCAATGTTGTAAGTATGTTCATGTTGTTAATATGTTGTTAATTGTTTTGCGTGTACATTTACAGACAACTACGTTGTTGTTGTGTGTTGTAAGTATTTTCATGTTAAATGAGAAGTAAGCTAGGGCTAACATAGCCACCAGAGCAAAAACTTGTGATAGAAATAACGCCAGCCAGCAGTAGAACTAACTCGAGAAGGGATAGAACTAACAGGAGGGCAGCTAGAACTAACAAACGTGAGGGTAGGGCTAACATGGCCACCAGAGCAAACACTTTTGCTAGAAATAACTCCAGCCCGCAGTAGAACTAACTCGAGAAGGGATAGAACTAACAGGAGGGCAGCTAGAACTAACAAGCGTGAGGGTAGGGCTAACATGGCCACCAGAGCAAACACTTTTGCTAGAAATAACTCCAGCCCGCAGTAGAACTAACTCGAGAAGGGATAGAACTAACAGGAGGGCAGCTAGAACTAACAAGCAGTTAGGTAGGGCTAACATGGCCAACAGAACACACACTTGTGCTATCTAGAAATAACGCCAGCCCGCAGTAGAACTAACTCGAGAAGGGATAGAACTAACAGGAGGGCAGCTAGAACTAACAAGCAGTTAGGTAGGGCTAACATGGCCAACAGAACACACACTTGTGCTATCTAGAAATAACGCCAGCCCGCAGTAGAACTAACTCGAGAAGGGATAGAACTAACAGGAGGACAGCTAGAACAAACAAGCGGTTATGTAGGGCTAACATGGCCAACAGAACACACACTTGTGCTAGAAATAACGCCAGCACGAAGTAGAACTAACTCGAGATATTGTAGAACTAATAGTAGGACAGCTAGAACTAATAAGAAGTGATCTAGGCCTAACATGGGCAATAGAACAAACACTTGTGCTAGAAATGAAGCCAGCACGAAGTAGAACTAACTCGAGATGGGCTAGAACTAACAGGAGGGAAGCTCGCGTACTAACTAGGAGTGGGCTAGGGCTAACATGGCCGCGTGAACAAACACTTGTGCTAGAAATAACGCCAGCACGAAGTAGAACTAACTCGAGAAGGGGTAGAACTATTCAGGAGGGCAGCTAGAACTTACATATCCAATAGAACCAAAACTTAAAGTTATCTGGAGGTGGAAATAACACGAGATCAACTAGAACTATCACATTTAATCTAGAACTAACATAGTCATTAGAACACAACTAGAACTAACATAGGCATTAGAACCCACATTTAAACTAGACCTTGCGT